TATATATATATATATATATATATACACACACACACACACACACACATATATATATATGCCAAAATCAAGCAACTTCTAAAATGATAGGATAAAGATTTGTCTGAAGTCCATGTGTTTTGGTGTGGTATTAGATCTTATTTTCCACATACTAGGCAAACATCTTTTATTGTGGAAAAACATATATAACTTTTACCATTTTAACCAGTTTTAAGTGTACAGTTCAGTAGCATTAAATACATCCACCTTGTTATGCAATTATCACCATCAACCTTCCATAACTAAAACTCTGTACTCATTAAACACTAATTCCCAACCCTGCCCCTGCAGTCTATCTTTAACTTAGTTCCTTGCCTGAAAGTGAGCACCACCATAAGATTTTCAAAAATAATGAAACAAATGTACACCTTGGTCCCATTCTACATACTTTACTCAAAAGAACTCATTCTCACCAGGCCATACCCTGTTCCTGAAACTGCATCTAAGAATTGGCACAAATGTAGAGTTTAGCATAGATCCAGGAAACAGGGAAATAGGCAATACGTGTACCTCTTGGAGATTACTGGTCCGCAGGTAGCCACTCTTCTGTAAGATGGACCAGGCTATCTCTGTGTCATTCACATTCATCTGGCAGCCATAGGTCTCAAGGTAGACTGCAATGAGAGGGAGATTCCATGGTAGGCAGACGAAAAGGAACCATATGTCTCAAAGGTCTCCTTCCCAAATGTCCCAGAAATATTTGATGCTACTGGTTATCCACTAAGTCCTCTATTGCCTCAATTCTAAGACACCATTAATTGCCAGATGTATCACCAAATTAATGACAGCTTTTCAGAACAAAAGAAATACTACATTATATACACACACCAAATATAAGTCATGTCACTTAAAATATGGGGAAAACATGCACCTAAGCATCAGGAAATCTATCTATATATATAAAAACCTAAGTGACCTTTCGACTGGTAGCTATGATGTGCACTGACCACCTGGGGGAGGAGGCTCAACGCACAGGCATGGAAACATGGAACTGATGAATCTCAGAGGGAAGGGGAGAGGGTGGGAAGAGATTAACCAAAGATCTTATATGCATACTAGAGGCTCGGTGCACGAAATTCATGCACAGAGGGGTGTCCCTCAGCCCGGCCTGCACCCTCTCCAATCCGGGACCCCTTGGGGGATGTCTGAATGCCGGTATTCGGACATCCTTCTCGCAATCCAGGACCGCTGGGTCCTAGCCACTTGCCTACCTGCCTGCCTGAATGTCCCTAACTGCCTCTGCCTGCCAGCTTGATGCCCCTAACGGCTCCCCTGCTGGCCTGATCATCCCCTAACTGCTCCCCTGCCAGCCTGATCACCCCCTAACTGAGCCTCCAGCCACTGGGGAGCCACCATCGGCGGCTTGCCTGAGCCACAGGCCGGCCCTGGGCAGCAGCAGCCACGATCCGTGGCTTGCCTGAGCCTCAGGCAGCCTCTGCGGCTTTGTCCAAAAGGACGTCTGGATGGTCGTCGGAATATATCCAGTCTAATTAGCATACTACCCTTTTATTAGTATAGACCCATGGTCAGCAAACTGCGGCTCGAGAGTCACATGTGGCTCTTTGGCCCCTTGAGTGTGGCTCTTCCACAAAATACCACGTGCGGGCGCGCCTACAGTGCAAATGAAACTTCGTGGCCCATGTGCAAAAGTCAGTTTTCGGCCTGGGCAAGTCTATTTTGAAGAAGTACTGTTGATACTTGGCTCTGTTGACTAATGAGTTTGCCAACCACTGGTATAGACTAGAGGCCCGGTGCACGAATCCCTGGCCTGCAGGGATCGGGCCAAAACCAGCAGTCTGACATCCCCCGAGGGGTCCCAGATTGCGAGAGGGCGCAGGCCAGGCCAAGGGACCCTACCGGTGCACAGGGACCTCTAGTATGGTTATAAAAACAATCAGAAAAGCAGGGATTAGCTGACAGCATTGATTATCAACCTAGAAGAAAAACAAATTTAAATCCACACGTACCCCTTGCCAGGTAGCTCACTTGATAAGAGCATCATCCCAATATATCATGGTCAAGAATCAACCAATAAATGCATAAGTAAGTGGAACAACAAATAGATGTCTGAGAGACAGAGATGATAGATAGATAGATAGATAGATAGATAGATAGATAGATAGATAGATGTAGATATAGATGAGACACATAGTATTATTTATAATATAAAAATTTGGAAGCAACCTAATGTCCAACTATAGGGGACAGGTTGAGAAACATCATGGTACAGAACAAATGTGATATTTTGTACTAATTTTTAAAAATTTAATTATAAATAATGTAGTTTTGGGGAAAATGTTAAATGAAAACAAGTTACAAATAATTTTCACCTTATGACTGCAACCAAATCTTTAAGAATTATAAAGGGAAATAGTTTTTTGAAACAGGGCAAGGGGGAAAGGTCTGATTGTCCCTTAATTTCTCTTCAAACTTTTTAAAGGCATTTATCTGATTGTATAATGTCTCTAAGGAAACCTCTGCCTAAATATAAAGAGTGAATTTCTATAGCACCAATTGTGAAAGCTGCCTTAAAACTTAAAGACAATCTAAAAATTAGAACAGAAAGTACAGGATTTCCAAAGGTAACCAGAGAACTACCCAGGACTCTATCCCCCAGCTGTGTGTACCAACACTGTAAGTTCCTTCATATTAATGTTACTTGGTGGAGTTTAATGATTCCATAACTTAGTAAGCCTTCCCACATTGTTAAACTCCCAAAGCCAGGTATGTAATAAAAGAACAGTTAAGAATCAGGCCTGGATGCTGGAAAAGAGCAAAGCAGAAAGCCCAAAGAGAGACAAGAAGTAAAACCAACCTTTTCTCTGCCTTCCTAAAAGTTCATCCACTGTGAGATATGGGGGTGGGTCCACCACATCTGAAGAAGCCAGCTTCTCTTGAGGAACTGAAGCACTTCTTAAAAAATGCTGAAAAGTTGGTCCAGTAGCCAGCCTGGAGCTGAAATCCTTCCCAACTCCATCCTCCTGCTGCCCCTCTGGACTGGGACATGCGGTGCCGGAGAAACTGCTGTGTGCCCTGCAGGTCCGGAGCAGCAGCCAGGACACAGAGGCCAAGGGCCCCCACCCCAGACACCTCTGTGCTTGGAGGATACACTGTAAATGATGCATGGCGCTAAAACAGCTCAAAGTCTGCAAAAAAAAATAAATAAATAACAGACATCATCAACATTTATTGAGCACAATGTACAGGGCACTACTCTAAATACTTCAAGTAGATGATACCTTTAACAATAGTATCCCGCTGAAACCGGTTTGGCTCAGTGGATAGAGCGTCGGCCTGCGGACTGAAAGGTCCCAGGTTCGATTCCGGTCAAGGGCATGTACCTGGGTTGCGGGCATATCCCCAGTAGGAGATGTGCTGGAGGCGGCTGATCAATGTTTCTCTCTCATCGATGTTTCTAACCCTCTATCTCTCCCCCTTCTTCTCTGTAAAAAATCAATAAAATATATTTTAAAAAAAAAACAATAGTATCCCTATTTTTATAGGTGAAAACACTGAGGCAGCTTGCCCAAGATCACACAGAGGAGTGCCAGAGATGAGATGCAAATCCAGGCAGTGTATTTTCAAAACAAAGGGGTGGTAGAGATGAGATGAGAAGCCCTGACAAAATAAAGTAGCACCTTGTACAGGAACAATTCGCAAGGCTTTAAGCATATTTACTCATTAAATCTTCACAGCAATCCTAAGCAACATAGGCAATAGACACTATTATTATGCCATTCAGAGATGAGGAAAGACACAAGAAAGGCTAAGGAACTTACCTAAGCTCCCACAGCCAGTAAGCAACAGCGCTGGCTACCTTGCTACACTGTCTCCCAATACTGTGAAAACCAAAGGAATATATCTAATATGGGGCACCATATGCCTGATCAATGACTCCTTCTACCCTCCATGAGTCTCAAATTACTGCCTTCAAACTTCCCACCCATGGCTTGTGGGATGGAAAATGGCACAGCCTTTACATGGGGCAATGTGCCATTTTCCATCAAATTAGACACACACAAACCTTTTGACCAAGCAGTTCCATTCCTAGATATTTATCCTACAGATATACTCTTACATAGGCAAAATGACCTACTTATAAGGATACTTGTTACAATAGCAAAAGAATGGAAGATATCTAAACATCATCAATAGGGGACTAGTTAAGTAAGTCATGGTATATCCATAAAATGGAATAAGATGGAACTGTCAGAAAATGAGGCTGAATCTATACATGGCAAAAGCAAGGAAGCAGCCCTGGCCTGTGTGGTTCAGTTGGTGAGAGTGTTGTCCCATATAAAGAAAGGTTGTGGGTTCAATTCCCGGTCAGGGCACGTAGCGAGGTTTTGGGTTTGGTCCCTGATCAGGGTGTATGTGGGAGGCAACCAATCGATATTTCACTCACACATCAATGTTTCACTCTTTCTCTCCCTCTCTCTCTAAAAAAAATCAATTTTAAAAAAATGAAAAAAGCACCTGGCCAGCATGGCTCAGTGGTTGAGCATTGACCTATGAACCCAGGAGGTCAGAGTTCAATTCTGGTCCGGGCACATGCCTGGGTTGTGAGCTCAATCCCCAGTGGGGGATGTGCAGGAGGCAGCTGATCAATGATTCTATCATTGACTAGAGGCCCGATGCATGAAATTTGTGCAAGAATAGGCCTTCCTTCCCCCAGCTGCCAGCACCGGCTTCCCTCTGGCACCCGGGACCCTGGCTGGCTTCCCTCTGGCCACCCGCAGGCACCTGGGACCCGGGCTTCCCTCGCAGCCCCGGCTTCATCCGGAAGGATGTCCAGTCTAATTAGCATATTATGCTTTTATTATTATAGATTATTCTATCTCTCTCTTCCTCTCTGAAATCAATAAAAAAAATTTTTAAAAACTAAAACAGCAAGGAAGCAAAGTGCTAGAAACTACCTACAGTATGCTATACTTGAATCTGTGGGGGAAGGAAGGCAGAACATTATGGTGCATATTTGTAAGTATACACAGTATCTCTAGAATGCATAAGAAACTGTAACTGCCTCCCAGGAATAAACCCAGATGATTCAAAATACAAGATTTGGAGACATACTTTCCACCACATTTCTTAATGGACTGCCTCACTCCATCCATACCAGATATCTTTATACTGATCGTCACTAGTTTTCTAGGCTTTTACCCATGCTGTTCTCTCTGGCTGGTATGTCTTCTCTCTACTGCCTTGGCCAACTCCTATGACACTTTTAAGGTCTCTGCTCCCTCCTGGAAGCCTGTCCTGGCCACCCCACCTCCCAAAATCTAGGTTGGGGTCCTCCTCTAGGTCCCCAAGGCCTCCTTATAACTTTCTTTCACAAGAGTCATTACACTTTGCCATCTCTTATAAGCTGGAAGGTGCCTGAAAGCAGGAAACCAATCTCATTCATATTTACATCAGGCACTGTACGTGTAAAATGAGCAGACGTGGCCTGTTACCTCTCCCAGCTGATCACCTGCTGTATATGCTACCAGTACTTTAGGCAGGAACAGTGCTAACCTACTTTCAAGTGTCAGAGAACAGCAGCTTTTAGTGTGAGCTTTAAAGTTACCAATTTCCTACTTGTGTGACCTTGGGCAAGTCAAATTCCTGCCTCTGAGCTGTAAAAGAATAAAAGTAGTACCCACCTCCCAGAGATGATGTGAGCATTAAAGAAGACTTTAACATCCCTTCCCATGGAGCATTGTGGTTAAGACCCTATAGTTAGAGTCTGACCCAACTGCTCCCCAGCCAGGTAACTTTGGGCACCTGGGAGCTTCCATTTCTTCATGGGTGAAATAGGGGTAACATACTTCCTCTATGTCTGTTGTGTCAAATGTGTTCCTACAAATAAAACATGAAATAGGGGTAACATACTTCCTCTATGTCTGTTGTGAGGATCAAATGTGTTCCTACAAATAAAACGTTTGCATGGCACAATAAGGGGCTCAGAAATTAATTGGTAGTCGGCAAAAACCATGAGACAACAGCCTCGTCTCCGTATATCTAAACATAAACAATGAAGCATCCCAAACATTTTACTGGGTGGTTACAATGTGGGGCTAAGCGTGTCCCATGGATTACCGTATTTAATCCTCACAGCAACTCTGTGAGGCAGGTTCTAATAGCATCCCCTTCACAGGTGACAGAGCTAAGGCTCAGGGTGAAGAGGGTGACCTGCCTAAGGTCACAACGAGTAGGCAGCGGTACTGAGGTGTGAACCCCGACAGTCTGACACCAGGGTCTGCACCGGGACCAGCAAGACATCCCCACCCCCCACTCCGCACCCCCCGAACACCGCGCATTTCGGAGCCTCCGCAGCGCCTCGTGCCACCGCGCGGGTGCGCAGCACACCTTCGCCCAGCGCGCCTCTCACCTCCCGCAACTGGAGCGCCCAGCGCGCAGCGAAAGCTCCCGGCCTGACCCAAACAGCTGCCGGCGCACGCGCGACTTCCGTTCCGCCGCGACTTCCGTCCGGATGGTTCCAACGGAAGTGCCTCCTCCGAAAGGTCCGGGTGGGTGCAGGTTCCTTGTTTTGAAAAACCTCCACTACCCGGTGAACCATACGATACCCAGTAACCGGCATGTGGCAACTGAGCGCTTGAAATGTGGTGAATGCAAGTTAAAATGGGCTCTAAATGTTGGAACAAAGAATGCAAAATGTCTCCTCTTTATATTTATATATGTTTTTATTGATTTCAGAGAGACGAAGGGAGAGAAACATCATTGATGGGAGAGAATCGTTGATGGGCTGCCTCCTGCAAGCCCCGCAACTGGGGATCGAGCCCTCAACCCCGCCTGTGCCCAAAGGGGAAATCAACCATGACCTCCTGATTCAACCACTGAGCATACCTGCCAGGCTCATTTTACTTTTTAATGTGGCTACTGGGAAATTTTAAATTACATTGTTGGCTCACATTCTATTTCTGTTGCACAGCGCTGCACTATAGGTTAAAGAATTCGGATTCAAGTCTCCAGTTCTCAGCCCAGCTGGAGTTACAGATCCACACATAGTCTAGCTATCTAAGTGGTACCTGTTCCTGCCCAATCTGACCATCTCAGTGAATGACCCACGCATCCTCCCAGTTTCACTAGGAGAAACCGAAGTCATTTTTGTTTCCTTTCCTCAATCCGTCATCAAGTCCTCCTGTCAGCTCTAACTCCAAAATGTCTCAAATCTGTCCACTTCCCACTTTTCTATTCTGCCCTTGCCCTTGTTTCTACAGACCATTTCCCACACAGAGCCTAAGAGAGTTTGTTTGTTTGTTTGTTTTGTTAACTCAGATCACATCACTCCTAGGCTGACAACTCAAGGTGGCTTGCAATAAATTCAGGTTTCCTGTTATGTCCTAGGAACTGCATGGCCTGGCCTCTGCTTACTTTACTTCTCCAACCAATTATTACTACTTACTTCTAGCATGTTCTCTATAGTTGACTAAACTGCAACTACATAATTTTATTTTATTCCTTCAATATCCCAAGCACATGTTTATCTCAAAGTCTTTGTACTTACTATTCTCTTTCTGAAATGTTCTCCTGAATTGTTTAATGGTTGGCCCCTTCTCATCCTTCATGTATCAGCTTAAATATAATTTCTTTAGAGAGGCCTCTCTGACCACCCCATATACACTGCTCCTATCACCATCACATCATTTTCTTCACAATACTTGTCACTATGCAAAATGATAGCTCTTTTTGTTTGTTTGCTTGTTTGTTTTTAGTTGTCTTTGCCTATTCCCAAACTTTTAGCTCCTTGAGAGCAGGAACACATTCTATCTTATTCACTGCAATATCCTCAGGCTCTAGCCCAGAGTCTGGTTCATAGAAGGGCTTAATAAATATTTGTTGAATTAATAAATAATGTTTTTTGTCTTCACTTGGGTTCCCCAGAAGCATACCCTGAGACACAGATTTGAATGCATATCGGTGATCTCAGTAAACATTGATGGAGTAGTCAGGGAATGAGACAGGGTAGGGGAGACAGCCACAAGCCAATCTGATCCCAAAGCACTATTCTTACTGACAAATTCAAAAGTCAATCTGATTGGGTCCCCATTGAGGCTCTGAAGCTTACCATTATAGCCATGGCCAAGTTAGTTACCCCTGCTGACTCCCAGTTTCATTGCCTATAAAGTGGCTGCTGTGTGGAGAATACACTGCATTGGGAGTGGGAGTGGGAACAAGTCAGGAGAGCATTTAGGGAGCTGTGCCGTTGTCGAGAGTGTGGAGTCCTGGACCAGTGTGGTGTCTGGGTGCAGTGAGGATGACGGAAACAAACCTGGATTTCAGGAGTTTGAGCATACTGCAAAAAGTTTACATGAGGTGGGGTGGGCATTGGGTGGAGGGCCCAAAAAGGGAGAAGTTGGAGACATCTGTAATGCTGTCAACAATAAAAGAAAACATTTTTAAAGTTTACACTGTGTCCTTAGATGATGGCTGGGTGCTGATTCAGTCAAATATACAAAGGCAAACAGGCCAAAAAATTGTATTATGGTTCTATTTTTTTACTGTGGTTCTCCAGATAATTCAGGATGTGATCGAGTCATTGGGGGGAATTATCAGCACCATGAAAGTACAAAATTCCAGAATTCCCCTGAAAAATTCTTAAACTCTAAATACAAGTTCCTAGACACCCTGGGATCTAAAGATTCCCGGTGGAGAAATATTCGGGTTTACTGTCATATTTTGTACTGCCCAGGGAAGATGTCCTGTCCTAATTTGGCCATGGGGAAGCCCCATCATGGTGGCAACACCTACGTCCTAATAGAAGTTATGTTGAGGGGGTTAGCCTCCCACCCACCACAGTGAGTGAAGAAAACATTCCTTCTCCTTCCCTGGTGACCCCCAAGCATAGAGCCTGTCCTTCCAGGCATAGCAATTCCCTTATTATTTCACCATGCCCCTCCCTCTTTATTCTCAGTCTTATCTTCTTAGAATCACAGAAGAAAGGAATTCTAGAACAGAAAGAAGCCATTTTTAGAGCTTCCAATGCAGAAGTCAGGGAAGATTTGAACCCATGTCTCCTGACTTCTTAGAACTGTGCTCTTTCCAATCTGGACCTTCTGCTAGCAGTCCCATGGGAAGGTGTCACCTTCTCCCTTTGTGGCCAGAGCAGGGGCAGCTGGTCAGAGGATGTTAGAGCTACTCTTTACCAGCTCTAATTACCCCTGGGGCAAAGCTGGCAGTGTGAGGGATGGTCTCTGGTGCCTATTATGCTGCCCCCGCCCTCCCCGCCACACACACACCAGTCATTCCCAACATCTCTATTGTCCTTCCCCCCACACATACTAACCCACATGGGGGTGAGGGACCATTGCCCACAACCACTCCCATCACTCACCACATTCCGACCGCAAGGGTCCACTTTCAGTAGCCATGTTGTGGAGTCTTGTACAGTGTTGTGCATTGAACAGTGAAGGTGATGAAAACAAATCCTTCACCAGGTGTTTGGGAGTGCTATGTTCCACCCCACCTTGGGATCTGTCACCTGGGATACTATTACCCCTTCCACCTGACTAACTCCTACAAATTGATGATCGTTCTCATTGCTACTGGGCAATTACTCCTCCCCCATGATGTTAGGCTCAGCCACATGACTTGTTTTGGCCAGTGAAGTAAGAGTAGATATAATGCAGACAGAGACAGAGGATGTAAATGTGCTTGTGCAAGGTGCTTGTCTTTGAACTCCAGTGACTTGCCATGAGAGGAGCCTGCCCTGAGAGCTTATGCCCTTCATCCTGGGCTCCAAAAGGAATGAACATAGAAGAGACCTGAGCCCAACCCACAGCCTGGACCAAAACCACCCAGCCAAACCCAGCTCCTAATAGTCAAATTGCAGTCAACTGCAGCCTCAAAAGCATGAAAACAAATGCTTGTTGCTATGGCCACTGAGATTGGGCTGTTTTCTTCCACAGCATTATTGCAGTAGTAGCTGATCTTTAGCGTGCTCCTTCAGATGGACATCAGCTTCAGGTCTCCTTCTGAAACCTACTCTAACCCCCCAGAGCAGGTCAGATCCCTACTGGTCTCTCTGCTAGCTCCATGTGTCTGCCCAATCTGAGTCACACGTTTGATTATGACAGCTTCTGCTGACTTTCTTTACCCTGCATGTAGGGACCTGTCAGTCTGGCTACCAGAAAAGCAGCTCCTGGCACCTTTTTAAGGACAAGAACAAAGTAGGTGAGCACTAGATATTTCTTAAATGAAGAGTGGATTAACAGTCCGCCTGGTGTGGGTCAGTGGTTGAGTTGAAAGGTCACGGGTTCGATTTCTGGTCAGGGCACATGCTGGGGTTTCAGGCTTGCTCTCCAGTAGGGGGCGTGCAGGAGGCAGCTAATCGATGTTTCTATCTGTCTATCCCTCTCCCTTCCTCTCTCTCTCTAAAATCAATAAAAACTTTTTTTTAAAAGATCGATAGGCAGATGGGAGGATGGATGGGCAAGGCTGGAGTATCTCTGCTTACCTGCATTTCCCCGGGTTTCTAGAACCACTCTGGCTTGTTATATGACTTAATGTGGGCCTCAGTTTCCTCTTGTAGAGGTTTGACTAGAACTGCTTAGCCTAATACAATAGCCTCTAGACATATGTGACTATTGAGCACTTGATATGCAGCTAGTGAGAATGAGGAACTGAATTTAATTTAATTTTAATATAAAAACTGATACTCAGTTTAGTTATAAGAAAACTTAGGAACAAGTTAGATATGTGAATCTACTTTTTTAAACTGTAAATTTTATGAAATCTAAATACAAATTAAGTATTTCCTATGAGAATTTGGCATCTAAATAGAGATGTGTGTGCCCTAGCCGGTTTGGCTCAGTGAATAGAGCATTGGCCTGCAGACCGAAGGGTCCCGGGTTCAATTTCAGTTAAGGGCATGTACCTTGGTTGCAGGCTCCTCTTGGCCTGGGCCCTGGTTGGGTCTCGTGTAGGAGGCAACCAATCGATGTGCTTCTCTCATATTGAAATTTTTCTCTGTCTTTCCCTCTCTCTTCCACGCTCTCTAAAAATCAATGGGAATATATCCTTGGGTAAGGATTAAATAAATAAATAAATAAATAGATGTATAGGTGTAAAATATACACCAGATTTCAAAGACTTAATATGAGGAAAAATCGTAAAACACTTCATTAATAAATTTTTATATTATGTGTTGAAGTGTATTTTAGACCTGTTGGGTTAAATTAAATATATTATTACATTTATTTTCATCTATTTTTTTACTTTTTTTTTAGTACTAGAAAATTTGCAATTACATGTATGGCTTACATTATATTTTTAATGGATAGTGCAGGGCCAGAAAGTCTCTAAGGTGAACAAGGGCTTGAAGTCAAAAAGACCTACATTGAAAATTCAGGCTCAGGCATTTCATAGCTGTATGACTTTGGGCATGTCGCTCCCCCCATCTGAGTCCCAGTGTCCTTACTTGTAAAATAGAGATCGTTGTGCCTTCCACAAAGATGTGTGATGAGGGTCTGGGGAGGAAATGTATGTACATTGTCTGGCAGACAGCAGCCACTTTTTCATTACTGTTGTCACGGTGATTTTCTGGACAATGTAAGCAAGTAGGTTGTTAAAAACATGGCAAACTCATATCCAGCCAGCACAGTACAGCTTCCAAAGAATGTTCCACTAAGCAGGTCCAAGTGTCCTCCCTTCTGCAGGAAAGCGGCCTGCGACTCTCTCTGATGATGTTAAAATAGGTCCACAAAGTCACTGACACTAACATTCTTTTCTTCAAGAGGTGGAAACTAACCTGGCCGTAGCTCAGTTGATTAGAGCATCGTCCCAATACACCAAGGTGCTGAGTTCAATCCCAGGTGAGGGCACATACAAGAATCAACTAATGTATGCATGAATAAGTGGAACAACAAATCAATGTCTGTCTGTCTGTCTGTCTGTCTGTCTCTCTCTCTCTCTCCCCCCTCCCTCCCTCCTGCTCTCCCACCATCTCTCCCTCCCCTCTCTCCTCTCTCTCTCTCAAACCAATCCATCAATTAAAAGGTGGGAATTAATTCCCCTCTCTTTGAGTGTGGGCTGGGCTTACCGACTCACTGCTAATGAATAGAATAAAGCAAAAGTGACATTCAAGACTGGATCATAAGAGGCACTGTGGATTCCTCTTGGCTCTCTCTTCTGTGTCACTCACTCTGGTGGAAGCCAGCTGTCATGAGCATATTTAAGCAGCCCTATGATTAGGTTCATGTGGTGAGGAACTGGAGTTTCCTGCCAACAGCAATGAGTGAGCAATATTGGAAACAGACCCTGAGTCTAGCCCCAGTCAAGCCTGCAGATAAGTGTAGCCCAGCCAACATCATGACTATAACTTCATGGTAGGACCTGAGACAAGAAGCGGCCCGCGGGCCGTAGTTTGCCCACGGCTGCTATAACTTCATGGTAGGACCTGAGACAAGAACAACCCAGCTTAGCCCCTCTCAAATTCCTAATCCAAAGAACTTGAAAGATAATAAATGTTTATTGTTTTAAGCTGCTAAATTGGGGGGTAATTTGTTATGCAACAATAGAAAACAAATACACTTTCTTTGATCCTGTGCTTAAAGGCCTGCTTTTCTCCCAGGAAAGGGGCCCCAGTCTTGGGTCTGGTCCTTCTTGGGAGTTTGGGGACCACTACAGGACCCAAAGATCAAGGCACAAACCACAGACACTAGGTCAGGCTGCCTGTGTGCTCACAGGTTGTTTATTTGTCCAAGAATAAGGAGGAAAGAGAAGATGAAGGGGAAAACCACATGCCCCAAGGTGGTGGGGCTGAGGGTAGAAATGAACAGAAAGGCTCCTCTTTCCATTGCTTCAGACTCCAGGGAACTCCAGCTTCAGATGGGGCCTCTGGGGTGGCTTTGGGGCCTCTAGGAGGCTTGGCAGTTGCTGGCTGGGGTCAGGATCCCCACAGGGGCAGTCCCAGGCTTGGAATGGCTTCTGTGTACACAAAATATCTCTCTGCAAAGGCACTGGTGGGGAGATGGGGCAGGGGCAACAGGGAAACTACCCCATCACAGCAGGATCCACTGTCCTGAATCTGGGTCCCAGTCCCCAAGACTATCCCAGCCTCCTCAGGGGCTGGGTCTCTCTGCATCCTTATTCCTTTCCTCTCCTTTTCCTCAGCCCAGTGTTGAGCAGGCAGTCAGTGGAGGGCCAGGTCAGGCCATGGGGTGGACACCCCCTCCTTGGGGCTAGTGCACCTGGCGACCTCTAGGCCAAGAGCCCCAGGCGGGTGACTTTGGCCGAGAGGAAAGAGTGGATGATGAAGACCATGGTTTTGGGGCACGAATGCAGGTCCAGCTGCTGCAGGGTGGATGGAGAGAAGGGTCAGGAACTCCAGGTAGCCTGGCCTCCAGGAGACCATAGCCCCCCGCCCCCTCCACTCACAATCTCTCCTTCAGCACCCCCGAAGTCCAGGAACAGGAGACTGGCACCATCGTCCGAGGACATCTGCAGCTTCTCAAAGGGCTGTCGGAGCAGCACAGCTTGGGCCGCACCTGGCTCAGCTGCCCACAGTGTGAAGCCCTTGTCAATGTGCACAGAGAGGTTGCAGGGGCGGCCGTTCCACGTGCAGGCTGCAGGGAGGGCACATGGGCATGGGGAGGGTGTGTGGAATGGGCAGAGCTGGCCCTCAGAGACCACAAGCCTACCTCCAACCCCAACTGGCAGCTCCAAAAGTGGGGCTTGAATACCACCAGGGATGGGAGGCTCACTACTTGTCATGCCATCTGTATACCCACTCTGCACAGAGACATCCCTACCCTAACATAAGAAAGGTGGGCCCTAACCAGTTTGGCTCAGTGGATAGAGCATCGGCCTGTGGACTGAAAGGTCCCGGGTTCGATTCCAGTCAAGGCATATGCCCAGGTTCTGGGCTTGATCCCCTGTAGGGGGCATGCAGGAGGCAGCCCATTGCATCAATGTTTCTCTCTCTCCCTCTCCCTTCCTCTCCCTCTAAAAATCAATAAAATATCTTCAAAAAAAAGAAAGAAAAAAGAGAGAGAGAGAGAGAGAGAGAGAGAGAGAGAGAGAAAGAAAGAAAGAAAGAAAGAAAGAAAGAAAGAAAGAAAGAAAGAAAGAAAGACCCACAGAAAAATTATACCCCACTTCTAGTCCCACTTCCAGTAGCACTAAAAGTGGAAAGGTGGAGTTTAAACTCTGCATGGACAGGAGGCTCACTTCCTAAAAAGGCATCAGCAGACCCACCAACATGGCCCTTGGAGACCTTAGAAACGTATAGAATTGCCCAGTTAAATGTGAATTTCAGGTAAACAATGGATAATTTGGACATTCTTATACTTAAAAAAATATTTATCTATAATTCAAATTTAAGTGTGTATCCTGTATTTTATTCTGGCAACCCTATTCCAAATACCATCTCTCAAATTCTCATCAGCAGACTCCCAAAGCCTCGGGCAAGAAAAATCTGAGGGGGCGGGGGGAGGGCGGGAGTCTCAACTACCGACCAGGGCACCTGCATGCCCAAAACAGAGGGCCCTCAAAGACCCCAAACCCTATGTTCTACCCCCCACAAGCACCCTAAAGAAAGAAGCTTGAGCCCTGGCCAGTGTGCTGCTCAGTGGTTAGAGCATCGGCCCCAAGCACCAAAGGTTCCACACCCAGCCCCCATCAGGGCATGTGCGGGAGGCAACCAATCAACATGTCTCTCTCACACTGATATCTCTCTCTCTCTCTCTCTCTCTCTCTCTCTCTCTCTCTCCCCCCCTCCCCCCTTCCCCCCCCCCCCCCCCCCCTCT